AATGTAATGTTTATATAAAATAACTAGCTGTTGGATTTACTTAATACCACAATAACTGCATTGAGGTCATTCTGTTACAGGACATACCATAAGCATTGCTACATCAGGTAAAACACTTTGCCAGGATCAAACCTCACATCAGACGATGGCTGTAAACTGACCACATAATGTCCAATATTGGTTGTCCAAAAATTGAGTATAGCTGCATCCAAACAACAAACAGAATTTTGATGCAAGGGGACAAATTGCATCAGATCATCCAGGACTTAACCACCTTGACTTTGATTTATGGGTTCACTCACAGCCGCATGAGGCAAAAGAACCAAATTAGATCAAATTAGGAAAAATTGTGTCATTGGAAATAATGTTTTTTTTTGCTCTAATCATTCCTATCTCTCTATCTAAAAGAAAAAAAAACAGCTAGTTTAGGGCATGTACAGGAACAATTATGCCAAAACGTCTCTTCATTCCAAATCTCTGAATGACTCTGGGTCTCAGCTCCACCCCACAGCCCCTTCTCCTTTGTTCATTGGTGCCTGGATTCATGGAGATTCCCTGATTGGCTGTCAGAGATTGTCAATCATCATTGATGATGTCATTCTCTGATTGAGTGCAGGATGTTCCCAGGAGTATAAATACAAGAGCTTGTGGGAGAAAGGCTCTGTTCCATAGTTGTCTAGCTAATACTGAATAGGAAAAGTGAAGATGGCCTCCCAAGTGTGTCAGAACTACCACAAGGACTGTGAGGATGCTGTTAACAAGCAGATCAACCTGGAGCTCTATTCTTCCCATGTTTACCTCTCCATGGTGAGCCTGGTGTTTTTTTTTGTGCTGCTTTCTGAAGTTTTTCATTTCAAGAAAATGGTTTTAGCCTGGTTTTTGCCCCTGGGAGATCTAACTGTTTGTGGAGTGACAGTTTGTCACTTCATAGAAAATTTCACTCTATTGGATAGACTATACCTAGTTGCAGCTGTTCTGTAACTGAGAAACTTCATATCTTAAGAGCTTCAGCTGCTGCATGGGTTTGTACGAAGAGAAACTTTTTCCCTATTGGGCAATGTTACTCAATGGGGTGGCTGTGGCTGGTGCAAAAGGTGTGTAGCTCCTTCCTTTTAGAAGGTCCTGACGAGAATGCTGGTGCTGAATCTTTGTTCACACCAATGTGAAACTGGTGTACTTGAGTGTCTGTCTATGGTTGTCTCTAACACTTAATGTCTCAATGCAGCAAAGTGCTTCACTCAATTGAAGTGCATCAATGCAATGTAAAATTGGCTAGCACATTTCAAACTAACTTCCTGCCAGGTGAAATGATCAGCATCTTGTGATTCCTGAAGGATGGATTTTCTCTTTGCCAGAAAATTCTCCATACTTTGGTGGAATTGAAGCTTGTCTGCAGGGCATGTGGGTGCAGTGGCTTTCTGCTTCACGAAAGTAGACTCCAGCTCTTGTTCAATATGACTTAACACATGTTAACTGGCTGACACCCACCAGGGATGCTGCTGGTTTCCAGCAGGAAACACTCAACTAATGAGTCTGTTAACCAATTAGCTTTACTCCTAAAGCAATTTGTGAGGGAGATCCTTTCTATTAAGATTAAGTTGTTCTGCTTTTCCCACAGTTCTCTTACTTTGACCGGGATGATGTTGCCCTGCGTCACTTTGCTGAGTTCTTCAAGGAGGAATCCCATGAGGAATGGGAACACACTGAGAAACTGATGGCATTCCAGAATAAACGTGGAGGCCGAGTCCTCCTGCAGGACATCAAGGTTGGGTTTAATTAATCTCTTAATTAAACAATGTTTCCATTATCTGAAACCACTTGATTCTTTTTGCTTACTATTATAATTAAGGCCTTAACTTTTCATCTCTTTCCCTGGTATACTTAGTGTCTTTTTCTCCCTCTTAATTCACCATCTGCTGCTTCCCTCCCTTCAGAAGCCAGAGCAGGATGAGTGGGGCAATGGTCTGGAGGCAATGCAGAGAGCTCTGCAGATGGAGAAGGATGTGAACCAGAGTCTGCTGGATCTGCACAAACTTGCCTCTGGCAATGTGGACCCTCATGTGAGTTCTTTCTTCCCTCCTACTTCTCCACCTTTTTTCCCACTCCCTGCCAGTGTAACTCCTGAAAGGTCAGCCTAGTCTGGAGGCCTTGGCTTTTTCCTTCGGCTCAAAATTGAGGTTTTTCCTATGCATGACATAAATAGTCCGTGATGCTGAAATATAGCAGCAACTCTTCAAATTGCATCAATCTCCACTGTTGCCTTTGTATACAGTCCTGAGGTTTAATTTGGACAAATGTTTCAATTACTTCCCCTTCACAGCTGTGTGACTTCCTGGAGAGGCATTACTTGGATGAGCAAGTGAAGATGATCAAGAAGCTGGGAGATCACATCACCAACCTGAAGAGACTGGGAGCCCCTGA